ATTCGTTGAAATCTCGTGATCAACGAGTACGATCGTATTCCCGATCTCGTTCTTTTTCCCTTACATTACATCCAAAATGTCTGACATCTTTCTTTTATGTGTCATATAAATTATGATCGCTAAAACGTTTTACTTAATATCAATCAGTCGAAAAATTAAGCGCTCACTCGAAATTGTCTAACAACCCGCCAAGAAACTAGAAAGCTAAAAATAAATGCGGGGTTTTCCAGTAAAAGTTGTGTAGAATCGGACATTGGTAAAATATTCACATTGTTTTCCAGGAATTTTTATTGGTCCGTTCGGACTAATTAGCCACAGCTTTTATTAGTCCGAATAAAAATGTATTAGTCTGAGACTAACGGACTAACGTTAGTGTCGAACCCTGTATATCCATTAATTCGTTATATCTGTGTTTGTACTAAACAAGTTTGACTGTACTCCCTTGTGTTCCCAGATGGACTTGCTGCTATAATTTATCACTATAGTTGTGTTTACCAACTTGATTGTTGCTTTTACCAACTTCTTAAGAGATTGTGCAATACTGAGACATCATATAATTCACAGTGTAAAAAATGTGCCTTGTTGATTTCATATAAACCTTTATTCTATTATTAGAACATTATTTTTAAAAAACAAAAATATCTAAATTTAAATACTTTTCAAAATTCAGAATCATATATCGAATACATTTATGATGTAGCACATTTTCGGTGAAGATTGTGGTAGATATAGTAAACATTTAAAATGTTCCTATCTCAGTTGTATAAATTTATTTCCTTAATCTTAAAAAAAAAATTCTTCATATTAACCACTCACCCACTGTCATCAACCAATTCATAATTCTTCTATGAGTTTTAATTAAGTTTTTCACACAAATAATTCCCAAACAAGTGTAAAACTTTATTTTCTAAATATGGGTCATAAGAATGTACCATGTTAACTGTATGTGGTGTAACTCCATTTACCAGTATAACCAACAATTCACTTCCCAGTGATCTTTTTTTTTTTTTAAATATCTGTTGAAGAAGGCTTTCCCCTGAGCCAATTTCAAAAGGCTAGAGAGTTTTGATATGTAGAATAAAATTCTTTTTACAAAACCTTCCCAGAAAAGTTTCTATAACAGGTGTAATATGTCTTCCTCTCTGGTTCCAGCCTGACTCCACTCCTATAACGAGTAGGAGTCTTGACTTAAGATGACATGACGTACATGTTCAATTATTATTATGTCCTTTAAATCATGTTATTTCTCTGAAGAACAAAATAATACAAGGTAAAGCAATTGTTCCTTGAGTCCTTGACATGATTTGAAAATAACAAGAATCTTGCATCACTGCTAAGCAGTTTTCTCTAGCTCTCATTGTTAGCCATTAAAGTTCCAACTCCATCCATCATTGCATGGTTAGTCACAGATTTTTTAAAATCTATAAAACACTTTTACAGCAAAAACATCAGATACTGTAGCTTTATTTTCTCCTGAACTTTAAATAATGAATTCATAAATCTCCTATACATTTGTTTTTCTTTCCTGTCATATAAGTAACTTCTATTTAAGACCAGTCGCGGTTAAGCCGAACAGTAGGTGCTCACTTCAGGATCACGGCACTGTTCTACAACATAGGTACAGCTGTAGTAACTGTTCCTTCACCAAGCACCAAGTATCAGAAATGAAAATCACAGCAGGCACAGATCCAGAAATTTTTCTCAGGAGGGGGGGGGGGGGGGGGGGGAGGGGGGGTCTACCCCAGTCAAAAAAAAAATTCAAACCCAAAAACTTCTTGACAAAAAAAACAAAACAAATAAACCCCTAAATTCCTTTCCCTATCCAGAAAATTTCTTCACAAGCAAAAAAAAACGTAAAATCCATTTCTGTAATGTGAAAAACACCTATTTCGTGGTGGTGATGGTGGGGTCCACGTTTTCTAAGGGGGGGGGGGGGGGCAAGGATGTTTATAATTTGCTTCAGTATATACTTTTAGTAACTCTGCAAATTCCAGGGGGGGCCCGGACCCTCCCCAAAAAAAAATCCGCGCATGCACAGGTTTTTTAGATATTAGTCAACTAATGTACACTATAACAGTACACATCAATCTTAGTCTGTTTCTGTTCTTTATAGATAGCATAGATGTTAATTTTAATACAAATTAATTTAATAAATTATTTTTTGTGTCTAGTGTAATTATGTCTCCTATAGGTATCCACCAATGGACCAAGGCTGCAAAGTCAAAAATACTAATACATGTACTTTATCTAATTTCAAATTTTCATATTTTATAATTGTAAAATATAATTGTAAAAATAGAACTTAGAAAGTGCCTATATATTCACCATTATGCTGGCAAGTTGGTAATCTATGAAGTGTTTCATTTATAGTAAACAATTAAAGTAAAGAAGATATTAATAATAAAAACAATGAATTCACCCTGGTGCAAAACTGACAAAGACTTGGGTCATTATCATATATGTCATACTAGTATATCATTCAGTGATATTTGTGGTTCTACTGCAGTGCATTATTCCCATTGAGTTAGCAGGTGAAAGTTAAATTATCATTGCTTTTTTCTGAGCCCTATCTGTAACAAATAGAGTTTGCATAGATTCATCATTTCCATGTCCTGTTCAACTATTCCACAAAAATTAAATCACAGGGGCATCCTATCCACTCTGTTCTCTATTACACATTATATTATAAATACATCATTATGTATTTATTATATGTGTAATAGAGAACAGAGTGGATAGGATGCCTCTGTGATCATAAATATAAAAAGTATTAAAATAAAATGAATTAATCCTAAATTATTTTTATTTTTCGACCACCCAATGCAATTTTTGAGACAGTAAATCGTAAACCAAAAAATAAATAAATAAATAAAAACTGTGGCCTTGGAGCGAACCTGAAAGTGATAGACCATTTATACCTCCAAACTAAATTAATAATTTCAGAGAAAATGGGGAACACTTAAAATTATTCTAATTAAATCCCAATTACATAATAATTGATTTATTTTCCCTATTTTTTCATACATGTATTTGATCACCACATTTCAAATCACATATGATGTTTTCTGTCTCCCAAAGGACAGCGGAAAATTAAATTTAAAAAAAAAATAACAAAATCAATTATTGAAATTTCATCATATTTGTTTTCCAAAGGTTTTAAACAACATGATGATAAGGTGGATTGACAGAGAAAATAACCTTATTTTAAAGCATTTTGATAAATTGTAATTGTAGAGCCCTCTTTACACCGCACACTAAAGAGTTCTGATTTTGTGGTATTTTTATGCAAATAAGAGTATTCTGCCCTTTGATCTACAATTAAATAAATTGAAATATACATTTGATTACTTAATCTGTGATCAAATTAAGCATTCACAACATTTTAGTAGGTCAAGATAAATATACTGTCTGAAAACTTCATTTGCAGGTATTTTGCCCACTTAAGTATACAACAGTGATTTCTGTTCATCGGTACTTTATTGTCTTGAACATTTTTCCTGGGGGTAAATGCAAGGTACATGTATCCTATGTTGAAAATGGAATAGATAAGCTCGATATTTATACCTTTATTCCAAAATATCTTTTCCTTTAGTGTATAGAGGGCGGTTCTTATTTAAATAAAAAAAAATCAACAGCAGACATTTATATATACATGTAGTTGGCTAAACATTATAAAAATGAAAATATTAGGAGCACCCCCCTTTCTTCCCTTCCCCAACCCAATTCAAATGTTCCCATTACAATTTGAACCAGCTTTGACCTATATGTATAACAATTAAGCCATCTCAACATGCTTTTATACATGTAGACTTATCTTGCGGTCATTTTTTTTTTTACCTTGCACCGCACACCCGAAAACCCGGTATCTGACTATTAAATGTACATTTTTTACAATGCATTATACAACAAAATTTGTCCAAACCAACCTTTGTGTAATATATGATAAAGTCTGGCCCCTGAACAGCTAAGCTATATATCAAGCAAAAGCAATTTACATGTATCTTTTTCCATTCAATGAAATATTTACACTACTGATTCTCTCTCTCTTTCTAATATATATAGTTAATTGCTGCAGTGTAATGTTAAATTTTCATCCACTATACATTTCTATGTTTAATGAAACTATTAAACTATTACAATTCCAAGCTTTATAAAAAATGTAATTATTCATGTTATTCATAAGGGATAAAAAAAAGTGATGGAAAAAACAATAAAGCATTCCCCGAATACAGATTTCTTAGAAACAACAAAAATAAACAATTACGAAATTTTTTTAAGGAAAAATTGTTTTTGATAAATATTTAGAAATCCGCTCATGATAGAACGGCGAAAACTTTCGTGTTTGTTGGCGGGTTTTCTGGGTTACCAGGAGTTTTAGAACTTCGCCGTCACCTTATATTTTCCGTTGTTTACTGTAGATAACTTTTTTAGCTGGAGTTTACAACCCCCTGTGAACCCCCGACATGCAAGTCGACCTGTGATTTATAAACAGTACTGGCTTACTGTCAGTCGGCGAGATAACAGCCAAAAACACAGCACCGTAAAAACACACGGCACGTATCATACTGCGCTTATATAAAGTCGGCGTGCCATCGGTAATATCCACTAAATAATATGAAATATTTATTAAACATTATATTTTTTTTATCCTTAAAAAAATCTAACATATCTGATATCAAAAACAAGCAATGTTATTAATCCGATGAGATCAAAAAAATAAAATAATGTGTATTAAGAATTTGCGCAAAGTCAATGGTCAGTGCGCATGACCTTTCGATCAGGTCAGCAGACGGCGAGACAGGTTACAACAGAAATAGGTCACGTAGGGGCGCCCCGTACCAAGAATGCTGCCTTTTCTTTATGCCATCGCCATGTTCGCCTGCAGTTTATTTTTATCAACGAGGTCAAAATAGTTAAAAAGAGATGATAAAGAGTGTGGATAAATGAACCATATTGTTCCGAATTAAACTCTATTGTGACCACAAGAGACAAGGACTTACCCCTACACGAAAGGGTCCCAGACAACAGAATACACACACACATCTGGAGAAGAGAATCCATGTTTAAATATTTCACAGTGTTAGACATGCGGGTTGTATGTGCGGCCTGCATTTGATCGTCTGCACTACGACAAAGCTCGCGCGGGCCGCTAGTCGCAGGGTGGGGGTGCAGATTTCTGTAAAGTGGACCCTGGCATTTCGGATCTAGGTTACGTCGACACAGATGTTTCCTTGTTTCTCGGTTGATGAGCTCGAGACTTTTAACGTGTTGGTGTAAAGAATGTCCTTTTGACTGGCTTGTTGCACGGTCTGCAGTTTTTGCGCATCGATCGCTAGATCTTTGTTCCTATAAACAGCATTATGCTAATACTTAATGGTCCTCTCTCTCTCTCTCTCGCTCGCTCTCTCTCTCTCGTATTATTTATATCAGTTTAATCTCTTGTTACGAGATTATTACATGTATTTGTACTATCAATACAAATACTATCAATACAACTTAAAAGCGCTTCCAGAAGGTAGTCATGGAATTTCAATATTACAGTGCGTGCTTGCAAATTGTACGTTTTGGTCAATCTTTTTTTTCGATAAGTTTTAACATTAAATTAACGAGTTTTAACCCCTTCATTTAAGATAAATAATCACCCCTGAAACTAAATTAGCCTTAATTAATGCGTTTATATATTACGTATATTAAAGATACGTGCATTTCTACAAGCCAAAGCTTTCTCATTGGAGTTACTAGTAATTAATTTTCTTTTTTCAATGGAATTACTAGTATTTTTTTTTTTGTGAGAGAGAGTTAGGGTGTGTGTGGGATCCGCATCTTGGGACATTTGTGTGATAAATGCTTTTAGGTGCACACTATTGGCACAAGGTAGAAGATTTGGTGATTTGTAAATGCCACAAACAATTCTCTCGATTAATTAAGAACATTATGACGGGACTAAAATGACCACAACTCATGAAACCGAATCAAAGCATAACAGTCTCTCGCTTTATCTATTTAGAATGACAATGCTTTTGGTTTACCCGTCTAGCTGTCCATTCGTTATACAATTGATATACAATAGCCACCTGAGGAATTTAATATTCATCGAGTCCGAAGGGCGAGGCGACTGTTGTACTTACAGGGTGGCTGAATCATCGTATTGACCTCAAAATCAGCAATAGTTGTTATGCCCCTGTATCGAAGATTCGGGGATATATAGTTTTTGCCCTGTCCGTCTATCTGTCTGTCCGCAAAAACTTTAAGATTGCCCATAACTTTTGATTGGTTGGAGCTATGGCTTTTAAATTTCATATGTGAATTCCTTGTGACAAGACCTTTCTTTAGGTACCAGCGTATTTGACCTTGAAGTTTAATCCCAGTTTTGCAAAATTTTACCGAACTTTAACATTGGCCATAACATTTGATCAATTGGTGCTAGGGCTTTCTTATTTCACAAGTGTAATCCTTGTGACGAGACTTTCCATTGGATACCAATAACTTTTTTTTCTTTTATTAAAATCATAATAGGTCACAAACATATCATAATATCAATATTAATGTAATATCAGATATTAGTATTAGATAAAAATATACAAATATGCATAGTAGTCAGTATCATTATAACATACACACACACATACATACATACATACATACATACATATATATATATATATATATATATATATATATATATATATATATATATATATATATATATATATATATATATATATATATATATATATATATATATATATATATATATAATATATATATACACATATACATATATATATTTATAAAAAAAATCAGCTAAATCATGGTAAATATCACTTCTAATCTGACCAATCTTCCTAAGAACATCATTTTGAATATAAAGCATATATTTCAACCTGAAGAGACATAATTTGTCGAAATGCGCATCTGGTGCATCAAAATTGGTACCGTATATGATTTACATTATGACCCCTGGGTCGAGGCCTCTGCTGGTGGACTGTTAGTCCCCGAGGGTCTCTACAGCCCAGTAACCTAGTACTTCGGTACTAGCTTAAAAATACGGATATATATTTAAATCCCGTGGTAATATTTAAAAAATTATTTCAAAAATAAGGATTATCTCCCTCATGCATAGCTCTGATCCTTCGAGGTATTTGGCTCCATTTTTTGGCATCTTTTTTTGCTCTTTCAAAGCTTTTTTATTGAAATATTTTGGATTTCCAACGTTTTGGCTTGAGCATCACTGAAGAGACATAATTTGTCGAAATGCGCATCTGGTGCATCAAAATTGGTACCGTATATGATTTACATGTAGGAGATTTTCCTCAGACAAGTGAAGCTAATAAATGCTAACAAATTATTAAAAAGCAAAGTTTTTTCACTACTTTCATTATAAAATCCAAGTACAATTAATTTCCAAGTAATGTCAAATTTTAGAAAAAGGCTCACTTTTTCCCATATGGGTTTAATAATTTTACAATCAAACAGGAGATGTTTTGTATCATCTTCAGTTTCACAATTTTCACACAAAGGAGAAATATCTTTGTTCCACTTGCTTACAGAAACATTGTTATTCAAAATACCATGTAATAATTTATAATTAAATTCTGATATTCTCTTCTCGTACATATTCGAAATCTTGTTTTTATAAATATTTTTCCATATACAACCATCCTGAACATTAAATATTTTTTTCCATCTGTTTTCAAATAAATGTTTTGAAATTTCATACCAATAAATATAGAGCAATAAAAATTGCTTCTTATCTCTCGTATTGATTTTACAACCTGTTTTTTAAATAAAAAAAAATATATGTTTGGTTTTACTTTCACGTATTTAGCATAGGAACAGTCAAAATTTTGTTTATACTCTTTAACAGCTATTTTAAGCATATAATATTCACATAATATATTATTTTTTCGTTTTAATTTGTTTAAAAAATAATTGATATCATACATTTCCCCTGATTCGTCAAATATATCTTTAATATACAAAATGCCACTTTGTAACCAATTTTTAAAACACAAGGGTTTTGAATTAAATTGAAAAAGATTATTATTCCATAAAAATTCACTTAAAAATTCGTCTCTCTTTAAATTATTAATTGGCATTTCTTTGCATTTTATATCTGTTAAATGCTGTAAACACATTACCGTAAAATTTGGGCAGATTCAACATTTTGAAAAACTCGGATTCGATAAAATTACACTCGCTAGTTTTGATAATATCAAATACTGAAATATTGCACCGTTGCAGAATACCAATAACTTTGACCTTTACCTAGGAGTTTGACCTACTTTTGAAAAAAACTTTAACCTTGGCCATAACTTTTGAACGGTTGGTGCTAGAGCTTCCATATTCAAATATGTAATCCTTGTGACAAGACTTTCCTTTGGATACCAAAAGCTTTGACCCTTTGACCTTGACCTAGGAGTTTGACCTACTTTTGAACAACTTTGACCTTGGCCATAACTTTTGAACGGTTGGTGCTAGGGCTTACATATTCAAATATGTAATCTTTGTGACAAGACCTTCCTTTGGATACCAACAACTTTGACCCTTTGACCTTGGCCTTGGAGTTTGACCTACTTTTGGAAAACTTTAACCTTGGCCATAACTTTTGAACAATTAGTGCTAGGGCTTTCATACTTCACATATGCAGTCCTTGTGACAAGACCTTCCTTTGGATACCAACACCTTTGACCTTGGCCTAGGAGTTTGACCTAATTTTTAAAAATTCAACTTCGGCCATAACTTTTGAACGTTTGGTGCTAGGGCTTACATATTCAAATATGTAATCTTTGTGACAAGACCTTCCTTGATACCAACAACTTTGACCCTTTGACCTTGACGTAGGAGTTTGACCTACTTTTGAAAAACTTTGACCTTGATCACCTGGAAGGTCTCGTGTACGTTAACATAATTTAGTATGAATTTTACAATGTTGGATCTCAGCCAATCAGAGAGCTATGAATTAGTCAACAAATAATAAAAACAATTAAAGCTATTTTTTTAAGTCAATACGATGATTTAGCAAAGACCTAAAGCAAAGGGACTGCCTGCTTTAGGTCTATGGATTTAGCAACCCTCGCAGTACAATATTGTACTTTTTGGGTAACTAAATCATCGTATTGACTTCAAAAACAACAAATGATACTCATAATTTATAGTATTTTAAAATTTGTAATTTGTTGATCCAATTTTTGGTCTGTTGAGGAAGACAAATTTTTAAAGATCTATTCTCTGTAACTGCTTAAACGCATGGTCACCAATTTTGATGAAACTTTGCCCATTTTAATAACTTGACACCGGAAACATAAATCAAATAAAATTTGGTTTCTATGTGTCTTGGTTGCCATGGTAACAGCCGGAAAAGTTTGAAAAACTGTGATTTTCAGCTAATTTGAATTTTTATTGAGCCTTAACAAAGACTTAGAAAAACAAACAAACCATTCTTAGAAAAAGATGACACCTTGTTGCCACTTATGCTATAAAGAAACTATTTAGAATATATTTCTAAGTAAATGGTAACCATGGGTACATTTGGAATACATATTAAATGCAGAAAAACGCTGAAAAGCGCTCAATATTTACTATTGATTGGTGATATATGACCAATCTCCATCAACAACTCAAGAAAAGCAATAATAATATTTGACCTTAAGCAATTAGGTTTTGGTAATGTTTTTCTAAAAATAACTTTTATGTTTGCCATGGTAACACAGTGTAACCATACAAAATTTGTTGATAAGTTTTGGTTAATGCTTCCATGCTAAGGAAAAACATGGAAATTCAAGACTGGCAAATGTACATCATTAGGACCTTGTAAAACAGAAAACATAAGAAAAATTGGGATAAATTGCTACTTTGCAGTGTAACCATGGAAACAACGTACCATTTGTTAAAGTGATATTTTTTGTTGCTTTTTGTTGTTAATTTAGTTCCCTTTCAATGAAGAAACATGTTATTTGACTCACATTGAATAGAATATCATATATTTATAGTGGTAACGTTTGATGTAGAAAATAACACTGTTTTCATGGTTACTAAGAAGGGACAAAGTTCGATTTTGCTCACTTTATAGCAATATTAAACCCCATACGGTAGCTTCTTGCATCCAGTTAGAGACTTGTGGTAGCGAAAATTGAAAGTCAGGTCAGTTGTTCATGAATATCAGTCATAAAAGTTTTGGAATCTACATAACAAGAGTAGAGAAACAAAATATTTTTCAGCTTTTCATTCATATTTTTTCTTTGCGGTATTTAAAACTATAGCAACCATTGCCAACAAAAAAAAATATCACATTTCGTCCTTGATATATGTGGTACGATGATCTTTAT